TGATCTTGATATAGCAGTTTAAAACTATTTCAAGCATTTAAAAATATTTGGCTCCTTTTTTGATAATTAATGGAGGTACACAATGTTTTGCTCTAAATGCTCCTCAGACGTTTCAGGGCTAAAGGAAAATATTTATATCCAAAGAAAAGAAAAACTTAGTCTTAACAGGAACATTTCCAAAGGTTACAAAAGAGAAGCTATTTTTGGAGTGTCCTCATCTGTTGCAAGAGGATTTTTTAAAGTCATCTTATTCTTTATCTTTTATTAGTTATTTTAGATTTCAGTTATTTCCCAAGGTTTAACATTCAGTGAGGTTTAAGCTTAATTTTGTTACTCATTCCTTCTGCTAAACCAGAGAACTGGAGTTAAGGTTTGGCCAAGTTTCTACTGAAGAGAATAGAAATTTGGATCTGGTCGCTGAAACTCTGGTTGCTATAAAGGGCAACTACTGTAGCTACCTTTTGGCATAAGAGGCAACGTTTACAACTCTCTCTCTTGGACCAATGGAGAAAACACACAAGTCAAGCTTAGTTTTAACCTGACCCTGGAGTCTAATTTGTTTTTGTAAAATAAGTACACAAACATAGCTGGTTCTAAACAAATGTCTCTCAGATAAGAGAATGAATGAATAAGAAAATGAATGAAATTAGAACCAGGAAACTATAAACTAGGAAGACTGAAGTGGAAGAATTAAAAGGAACAACACTGATTAAAGTCTGTCACTAGGAGTATAGAAAACCAGAGAGACTCGAACACATTCCTTATGCCAGGGTTCAATTAATAGCAGATTGTCAGGCAACGAGTGGAGAAAATTTGTTCCAGAATTCTTGAGAGAACACTGTATAGAATATATTAATATGTTTGAGGAAGTGGGTGAAAGCCCCAAGGGTTCTGGTAAAAGACAAGGAGGAGGGACTTACTGATAATTCTAGAATGATGAGAGAAGGGTTAGACAGTGGGAGAGGAGCCTGAACCTACAAAATGGAACACCCTGTGCTACCTACAAGTCTACAAAGCTAAGAGACACCTTGTGGAAACAGGTGAAGAGGCAGCTGGGCCTGCTGGTATGGTGATGTGAGACAGAGGCAGCTAGGAGCTGAGCAACGAGGTTGAGAAGTAGAAGAGAGTGAGGTGCACACAATAGTGTCCAGAAATTGTGGGGAGGACTGGCAGAGATTAGCATTCGACCATATGTGTCTGATCTCTGGAGACCCTGCTGACATCATGATTCCAGGAGAAACTGCCAAGGAAGTAAGTTCCTAGAGGAAAGGTGAACAAGCTCTTCCTTCCAGCGTGTTGAACTGACTTGACATACAGTCACATCCATCGTGTTTTCAGGACTGTAGCAGACAAGGAAGATGTGAGTAGCTATTGAAATAATAAATGTAATAGACACACTGAGTTATGTACACGTTACATAACTTATATACATAATATATAAGGTGTGTGTGTGTATATGAGTATTAATAAAACCAATACTTTTTCTCCAGGAGCTTACAATCCATCTGGCCAGGTGGCTAAGATAAGCTTACTACTGACATCAACACAAGGAAATTTGATACCTAAGTGTCCTGGGCTATGAAGGCTGAGAAGTTCTTTCAGGCTGTAAAGGACTTATGGAGGTGAGCTTTGAGTCAGGAAACCATCCCTATTGCTCAAAAGGTAAAACTATGTGGCCAAGCTATGACCAGCACTTCACAGTGGCCGGGCTCTTTATTCACTCTGGGAATAATCCAGACCTGGTGCTCCTATTTGGGGCTCATTTCACTGGGTGCTGGGAGAAGATAATTTAGCTTAGGTTTGTTATCCATGGAGCTTAAAGGGGAGGGACCAAAACACTCCCTGAAACATCCATTGAAAGCTTATAATGTTGACTAATTTCTGCTAAAGTCCACCATTCATTCATTCATTCATTCATTCATTCATTGATACTTACTGAGTTTATTCATTGAGTTTGAATGGTCTAAGTTTAGACAAGGCAGTGTACTGTGTTCACAGCTTCTGCAGAGAGCCAACATAATTACCATACCCTAAGATTGAATACCTATGGCCTCAAGGCCTTGAATTTCCAGATAGTCTAATATTTTTCGGGAACACTGCCAACCTTCTCCATTCTGTACAAATAGCTCACACCCAGAGAAACAGACCTCACTTCACCAAGCAAAAGGAAGGATTGATCTCAGCTGCAGAAATTCTGCTGGAGATAATCAGTGGAGCATCAAAGCAGGTCTCCCACAGCTTCACATCTTTCTTGCTGTCATCTGCACCAACTGAACAATTGCTCCTTTGGGCTTTTTGATGACGCCAGAATTCACTAAATTTTGCAAAGACCCCAAATCGACCAGGCGGGTGGAAGCCAGAGGGGTGCCTCATTCCTCTGCCAGGAGATATAGCAATATACTTCTGACCCTGCACCTCAGTCTCCCACCTAGACTTCTGGCCACCAATGCCTCTCCTTGGAAGTTGGGCCCATTATCTTGTTTGTTTTAAGTTTATCTTCTGATCTGAGTCATAAAATCTGCTCAAAGTCCACATGCTGCTGAGACTTGGGCTTTTGTTTTATGAACTCAGATGGTCTATGTTCTGGAAATGATTCCACCTGAAACCAAAATGAGCAGCTTGCTCTGCAATACGTGCTTTGCTTTGAAAAACTTCCTCATCTTTAAACATTTCCCTGAGATTCCTTTGATGTGGCCCTTTTTTCTTTTGAAATCCTCTTGTCACACAGAATGTAAGCTTCGGTAAACAAAATTTAAAAATTTCAAGTTGCCTTGTTTTAGATGTACCGTGCTTTCCCTTTATCCAAGGTTTCCCTTTTCCAAGATGTAAATTATCTGAGGTCAACCTCAGTCTAAAAGTGTTGAATGGAAAATTCAAGAAATAAAAATTCATAATTTAAAATAACTTTTATTACAGTATATTATCATAAGTTCCATTTTATTATTGCTTTTAATCTTTTACTGTGCCTAATTAATAAATTAAGCTTTATTATATACAGTCTATATAAAATATAATATATGATATACATGAAACAGTAGGGTTTGGTACTATCTGTTGGTCAGGCATCCATTGGGAGTCTTGGCATGTGTCCCCCATGAAAAAAGGGGGACTATTATAATTTTTCATTTTTACCATTTTAAAATTTCTACCACAAGGTTGACGTTGTCAGACCTAGTTGATGAATGTGTGTTTTACTTTTTTTTTTAATATTCCCAAATGCTTTCTCCATCCCCAGGGTACCTTTGGGCATCTTTTCTGAGTGACATTTGTTTGACCATGAGCTTCATGATGGCAGGATTTAGTACATGAATAAATGAATAAATTGTTACTTGAGCATGAATCAGCTATTATTCAAAAACATTTCAATTCAATGCATTTCAACTCAATTCAGTTTTTAATTTTTGTAAACCAGTAAAAGCATGGGAAGCTAGACAAAGTGGCTATACTTTTGCCTCCTCAGGGGTTAGCACTTGCTGGGAAGGTTCTACTTTTAGTAGGTCACTATTCCTGGCCAGGAGGGACTCCAAGATGCAAGCACCGTAGGACAGCCTTTAAGCTGAGAACACTTGATTTTACATCAAGGACTTGTTCTTTCTTGTCAATTTTTCTAACTGAAAGAATTTATAACTTTTCAGTTTCTGTGATGGGAAGGAGAAACAGAAGGCTGATCTTTTAGGATCAACCCTTAAACATGAAGAATGGAAAAATAGCCAGGGAATTTGGTCTTTGCAGAGCTGGAGGAGCATGGAGACACAGGCAACACTGGCCCCTACCCAGGGACATTATTGCTTCTTAGAAGTTCATTTCACTAATGTGAAGTTCTCATTAATCAGCTGAAGGTTCCTTTGCTCAATTTTGATAGAAATCAGAATTCATAAATCAGCCAGGCACGGTGGTGCATGCCTGTAATCCCAGCACAGTGGGAGGATAAGGCAGAAGTATATCAAGGTCAAATTCTGCCTGTGCAACTTAGGGAGACCTTCTCTCAAAAGAAAAAATAAAGAAGATGTAGCACAACAGAAGTGCCCTGGGGTTCCATCCCCAGTATGGAAGGAAAACAAAGAAATCATACATCAGTGTAGCTCTGCTAGTGGCTTGGGGCTTTGCATGCCAATGGCCCTCAGCCCTTATGTTCAGCTCTGGGCCCTATGCTTCCCCTAGTCTCTGCTGCTGCAGGACAATGCTGTCAGTCAAAGGGAGTTAATGTCAATCACTGTCACTCTACACTACTGACTGCTAGTCAAGACTGGTGGACACATCTGATTACTGCCATTGGATGCAGCTGGTCTCTGCTGCCCATCTCTGCTGATTTCTGCCACAGATTTCTGCCACTCTCCAGGATTAGCAGCCCCTAGTGTTTCCAGTTTTTATTATTATTTTTATTTATTTATTTTTTTAAGCAACAGGCTCTTCCCACACCACCAGGAATAAGAACCCAAGTAGGTTTACAAGACTACTGCCTTTATTTGAACAGGACCTGTGCTGAAGCACATGGAGGTGCATCAGGTCCTCAAAGAGAACCCTCCTCTCCTAGACCAACCCAAACACAGCCAGAAAAGTGCTGCTTATGTAGCAGCAGCAGGTCTTGGACTGGTCCAAATTCAAGCTTGCGGACTGGCCCAAATTCAAGCCCACAATTGGTCTGAATATGAGCCTGCCAATTTGTCCAAATTGGTCTAAATCTGTGCCTTCTGATTTGAGCTTATTGATGGGCTCAAATTGAATTCTGCTGCTTGGTGCAAATTCAAGCCTGATGTGGTCAGGGTAGGCATCTCCTAGAGTGGGTGCAGGGCATCCAGGACAGGCACAGCACTAGCTGCCAGCCAGAACACATGCCTCTTTTGGGATGTTACAGGGAAAGTGGAAGCGTGGGGCCCTTTATGATCTGTCTCAAAGTGATCCCAGGCTCCAACCAGTAGAATACAGATTCCAAAGGAAAGCTAGGTCTCAATTAACAGATGACACAGAAAGGAACAGGATGGTGACAGAGCTTTATTCAGTGGTGACTCTGACAGAACAAGGAGTCAGGAGACAATGATACCCTGGATGTCACTGGATCTCTCACTCAACAATGTGTGTCTTTGTTTCTGAACATATAAATAGTATTTCTGACCACAAATTTTACAGGGATGCCTGAGGATTGCTGCAGTTTTAAGTCCTACAAAAGCACAAGATGAAAAACAATTCCTTGGCAATGGCTCTCTGCAAAACCCATGAATCTGATGCTTTATGTTGTCCCCAGAAATCCTAACAAATAGTTATAATCATCCTGACCGCCAATTACCGCCATCACAGAATACTAAACACTTCATTTGAAACCCTAGAGAAATGCTAGGTCTTCGCATCATAAATCTCACATACTTCTAAATGGTTATTTCTGCTTCTTCCTATTCCCAAGCCTCCAAAGGAAAGAAAAAAGAAAAAAAAAAAAAAGAAGAAGAAAGGATCAAATTTCTCAGGCATTTCTCTTAGGAACCACTTTACTAGACCTCAGCCTTGCTAAGTTTTAGTCCTGGGCCTCACTTTCTTGTTGGAATTGAAGTAGATTCTGAGTTGTAGTTTTCTTACTAAAAAACACACCATCTGGACAGCCCTGAAGGGTGAAAGGGGTAATTCTAGTCAGGGCCCAATGTTTTCTTTCCTTTCCTTTCCTCTTCCAACTTCCCTCACAGGTTGCAAAGTTTCCCTTTTGTCAAACAAGCCCCCTTGGGATAACTCATAACTTTCGAGACTCATCTTGTATTTGCATAAAACTGGTCTTTCTGCTATTGTCCTAACCTAGTCACAAGTGTGACACCAGAATGCTCACCTTAGCCTGTTTCCAACTCAAGCAACAATTCTCGTCCAATGGAAAACCATGTGGCACCATTGATATCCATGTGACTCCCCCCCCCATTATCCTGAATGTTGCGGAGTTTGTCACAAACACATGATATGTCCAAACCACTCCAATTTCATTTTCTCTGGCATTCTCATTTGATTAATTTCAAAGAGATGCCTCAGACTTGTTTGTTGCTTCTGGCTCTTGTTTCTAAAGCACACTAATTCTTTCCACAGGCAGCTCTGCTTGCTTTCATCTGAGGAGGTCTAAGTGGTGTCCCTGTAAATGAAAGGACAACAAGTTCCCATCTGAGTACCCTGGGCCCTAAGGAAGTTAATTTGTTGGTGGTGAACTTTGTTGTCCTTGAGTTTCAAAGGAGAGCACTGAGTATAAGGCAGTTTTCTTGAGTGGAAACATGAAATACTCTGAGATCCCTGGAATCAAAGGTGCCTCTGGCATCGCTATACAAGGAGAGAGTTGCTAACCACAGAGGACGATTGGATATCCCACCACAGTCCCAGACAGTCCTGGCAAGAGCACACACTTTCCAGTTGCATGCGATGGAAGCCATCTGCATGTAGTTCACTTTGAAATCATTCAGCTGGGAAGATCTTGACGTCTACTTGCTAATTTTTCCCACTAACTTCAATGACCTTGGATGCCAGTCATTTCCTCTGGTCACACACAGCACCCAGAAGACCCAAGGTGATCTGGGTCCCTTTCCTTCCCTACTCCAAGCAGTAACCCTTGAACCATATCTCTGATGAAGGTGGGCTGCTTCCCCATCAAATGGCCAGACGATGAGGTGGGACTGTAACAATTTGGTCCTTGGGTGGTCATTTAAATAGCTATGGATTAGTGAGACTTCTTACAGACTAACATTCCTATTTATCAGACACAGGACTAAAACCCAAGGCAGAAGAAAGGGATCAATCTCAAAATTTCCACCAGAAGGTCCAATTGGTTGTGGGAAGGTCCTGGTATCCACTGGTCAGAACTAACCTTCCTGCCTGAATTCCACAGAGCACAAACCCACCCAACACATGATAAACCCAAGCTGGTTTTGGTATCTTGAACAGCCCAGTTAAGACCAGCAGCTTTGTGTGTGCAAAATATACCAAGACCTTTAATAAGAGGCAAAGTTATAATCATAGAAGACATAATTCTTTTAAAATAGCACATGGGAAAAAGAATCTGTGTTACTATTCCCTCACATACCTAATGTCTCAGTGAGAAAAGTTTCAACCTATTCTCCAAACATTAAAAAAAAAAATGCCTGGTTGCTGTAGCCTACGCCTGTAGTCCCAATGACTCAGGAGACTGAGACAGGAGGTGAACTTGAACTTAGGAGTTCAAGGTTCACGACCACCCTGGGAAATATACCAAAACCTCATGTCAAAGAAAAAAAATTACAGGCACATCCTGTAGTTCTGGCTACTTGAGAGGCTGAAGCAGGAGGATCACAAGCTTGAGTGGCCTGAGCAACTTAGCGTCTCAAAATAAAAAAAAGAGTGGCTATGTAGCTCGGTGGTAGAGCATTGCATAGCATGCACAGAGCCCAGGGTTTAATCACCGGTACCGCCAAGTAAATAAAATCATAGGATACATTAAATTTGCATCTTCTAACTCACTTCTGTTCTTGCTTAAATACATAAGAAATGGACCTGGAATCCAGGTGTTAGAATATAAAGAATGATGCACTAGTGTTATGGTTTGCCTCTTACATGTGCCCCCAAAGCCTAAAAGCTTGGCCGCTAGCTTGTGGTGCTACTGGGAGGTGGTGGGACCTTCAGGAGGTAGGCGCTGGTGGAAGTAAGTTAGGCCCTGAGAGATACGCCTGTAGGGGCTCCTAGGACCCTGAGCCCGCCTTCTTTCTCTTTGCTTTCTGGTGGCTCTGAGGTGACAGCCTCCTCGGCCACATGCTCCCACCATGTTTTGCCTCACTGCAGGCCAAAAACAACAGGGCCAAGTGATCATGAACTGAAAACTCTGAAACCATTAAACAAATAAACGTTTCCTCCCTTTTGGTAGATTCAGGTGTTTTGTTACAATGGAAAACTGACTAACGTGATCAAGATTTTATAACCATGAAAAGGTTGGATCCCCAAATAGTCATTTCTGTTTGCCTCCTAAGCCATCCCTCATCAATCAAGGAATCAAGATGGAGGTACTGACAGCCACCTCGCTGAAGCAGATGTTGAACATACTAGACATCTTTACAATGTAGTTGCTGTTACTGGGAGTGGCAATTTGAGCTTAAATTAGGGCTATTCTTGGAACAACCCATTTCTCTCGCTGGCCTTCCCTATCCTTGACCTATTCTGTGTTTGGAGGTTGGAAAGTACCTCTTTTCTACAGGCGATTTATTTCTCCCAAAGAGCCGTTACGTCCGTTTGGTGTTGTAATGGAAACCATGAAATGCCTGGAAATTTACAGGCACTTTAACAAGAATTTTTCTTGTTTTTGCAGTGCAGTACAAAGACCTCTAGGTGGTGGTAAAGGCTCCAACCCGTTTTCAGGACTGAAATGAATAGCTGGTCCCCAAATGGTGCTGTCATTTTTAAGAGTTAATTGACAGGTCAATTGAAGTTGACTCATTTTCTGTGGTTTCAGTATTATCTTTTTTCCTGAATCTTAGTAAAGGGCAGCTTGTCCAGAAGAAGGGACTCTGGAAGCCAAGCCTGAGCCTGGAAGCAAGACTTAGGAAATGCTTAAATTTGGAACTCACTTGAAACTTTAGGGTAAAACATTTCGAACCAAATTCAAACATCTGTGAATTTTAACTTGTTTATAGAGGAAAAATAGTTTCCAATTTTAATGGGAAGGCATTTGATCATTAACTCCTACTAACAGCATTAATTTGACATGTAAAGGAAAGAAGTAGATGGATTAGATTTGCTGTAGAATACACTTAAAATTTTTGTGAGCAAAAACATGCTTGGAGAGAATTTCTTGTACTCACAAATTAAGTTTTGAAAAAAATAAAAGGGGACAAGAATAGTCCATAAACACTTTATATTCCAAGATGTCTTTAAATTTTAATTTGGAAAGAAGTAGACAGAATAAACTTGGTCATTTTGGAGGTCAACTTCTTCCTGGTTACCAATTCCCAGACTCACTGTGAAGATCTGCTGAGTAACTGTCAGTCAGCACTGACTGTGGCGGTTCAAGTAACGGGACCCTGAACATCTTTTCTCAGTGACTTAAGCTATCTGCTGCAGAGGGCCTAGCCCAGGTTCACTCTGTGCTTCGATTACCAGGCCTCACCTGCTATTCTTATTTGTTTACTTAACTAATTACTTCATCACATGTTGCTTAATCACAGCAACATGTATTCATTTAACCCACTTTACTCTAAAACACAATGGCTGTAGCCAAATTTCGTGCATTGCAAGCTGTACTGTACTAATAAGATGGCCAAGCTGACCAAGTCATTCCATTAGTGTTTACTGAGCACCTACTATGGGCAAGGCATTGTTAGGCTATGGTGGCCAGGCTGATAGCTTCTGAATATAGATTTCACAACTCTTGAAACTTTTCTTTCTTCCTCTGAACAATCTTCTGCCCCCATAATTTCGATTTTTTAACTTAATTTTTTTAGGAAGGGTGTCATATTATTTTTGTCCCTTTTAATAGAAACTGTTATAGTTTTTCTCATTTAGTCTTTAATCTTGATCCTGTGCATATTCCATTTGTTGTTTGTATATTTATGTTTGTCACCATTCGTGTGTGTGTTACTCTTACAAGCTGTCTTGCCCTTCTCAATTCTGTACCTTAGCGAAGGAAGTTCTTAGAACTTCCAGCTCTTAACTTACAGCGGAGGCCAGTCACTAATTGATGAGCTGCTTCCTAAGTTCTGAAGAAGGAAATGAAAGACTTAGAACTTGGTGCAGACTGAGCACTTTTTCGTGTGTGTTTTCATGTGCAAAGCAGGTAATTTCCATGAAAGGACCATGAACTTTGGAATTGTCAGACCACAGTTCGAACCCTGATTAAGTTACTATGTTAATCCACTTTCCATTGCTATGACAAAAATACCTGAGCTGAATCAATTTTAAGAAGAAGGGTTTATTTTGGGTCATACATTAACCGGTTTCAGGCCATAGTCGCTTTCCCTGCCGCATTGAGCTTGTGATGGCAGAATACATCACGGAGAGAGTACCTGGCAGAGAAGGGCTTTTCGCCTCATGGTAGCCAGGAAGCAAAGAGAGAGAGAGGAAGGGGCTGGGGGCCCAATATCTCCTTCCAGGCTCTGCTTCCTCCACTAGGCCTCACCTCTTAAAGGTTCTACCATCTCCTAACGGTGTCTCGGGCAGGGCCAACCGTCAACACAAGAACTTTTTGGAACACTTGAGAGCCAAACTATAACAGCTACTAAGTAACTTATCCACCCTGGACAAGTTGCTTATATGATTCCTTGGCTGAAAAATGGGTCCCTTACAATAGGTTAATTCAGGTTTCTGTTTGAAGGACCCTGTGAGACAACATTCATCCGTGCTTAGGAGCCACTCAATTTGGTTTTTCTGACAAGGAAAACTGGAGAACATGATACAAACTTAATATGTAGGTATTATAAAACCAATCTATATCTCCAATGAGATGATATAAGTGTTGCATTGCAACCATTTCAGTAAAACTTGAATCCAACATACTTCTACTTACATGGAAACAAATTTGGGTTAATTCTCGTTTCCTGTAGTTGCCTGAGGCGATGCTGCATCACAGATCTTCACGAAAAACACTTATTCTCAAAGATGTTTGGCTGTGTCCTTTGGAACAGATGAATAAATGTATATTTTTCCTAGAGGAAACCAAATATAGATATTCCAGTTCAACCTATAGGATTTTGATGGTGTTGTCATATAAAAAATCTTTGGCATAGGAAGATTAACGGAAAGCTTTAAAAACCTTTATCTTAAAATTGTCATAAAAATGGCAGTAGTGTATCACCTGTGTGTAGTTTCTCCCTTATCTGAAGTTTTGAAGGTCTCCCAAAAGGTAGATGTGAGGTACGAAGTGAGCCTCCTAACATGGGGTGGGAGAGGAAAAGCGGGTGGCAGTTGACTAGAGAGAGTTCTAAGATTAGACAAGAACACGGTTTTCTGGTCTATCACATAGCAAAGTGGCCACAGCGAATAATAATGTGTGGCCTAGTTCAAAATAGCTAAAATGTTCTCACCATAAAATATGATAAATACAAGGTAATAGGTGTAAATTAGCTTGATATACTCAATCCAGAATTATACATATATCAAAACATTACATTGTGCCCCATAAATATATGCTATCACTACTTGCCAATTTAAAAAAAAAACATTTTTTAATAACCAGTGAAAGCACATACAGCACCCCCAACCCCTCCACCCAGTTCTTAGAAGTTTCTCTTCGCTGCTGCCTGCTCCTTCTCTTAAGGATTAGCCACCCACTGAAGCCTATCTTTTTGTTGTTGTTGTTGTTGTTGTACTAGGGATTGAACTCAAGGCCTTCACACTGAGCTACATCCCCAGCACTGCCCTCCTCTTTTTTTAAGTGTTTTGAGAAAAGTTCTCATTAAGCCATGAAGTTATCCAGGCTGGGCTCAAACTTATGATCCTTCTACCTCAGCCTCACCTGGGATTGCAGGCATGTGCTACCACACCTGGCTTCAGATTGCTTATTTTTTAAATCCATATAACCAGGTGTTTTAGTCAGGGTTTTGGCAAGGGAATACATTTAATACAAAAAAACATAATTTATAGGATTATTTTGTGATATTTACCCAAAGTCAAATGCAGAGGAATGCAAGAGATTAGCCACATACTAGAGACCCAAAAAATCCAGCCAAGGCCCTGGATCCCACAGCAATGTCCCAAACAAGTCCAGCTGAAGGCTTAGAGTCCAAGGCAATGTCCTCTACAAGTCCGGCCAGTGGCCTAGAGCCCATGGCAATGTCTCATGTTTGTCCATGTTGAGGATCTGCACCTGGAAGGCCCAAAGGCTAGTGGTGGAAGCCAGAAAATCTACGCAGGTAGGATGAGGGATTTGTGCCACCAGGCTGAGAGATCTATACTGGAGCCAGGAAGTGATGCTCACAGTTTAGATCAGAGTTCCCCTGGTAAGAACAGTAGTCATTCCCAGGGACAGCAAGTCTCCAAGCTCCTCCTCTGATGGGAACAGCCAAGTTTGATCAGGAAAACTGACCACAGCAAGCTTCTCCTAGGAAATCAACAGCCCACGATCTTCCCCTCCAGTTCTGTTTTTATGGCTCTTGGCAACAATCCTCAGGTAGATCTTCCATGCCCAGACCATGTTGATTCAGTTCAGCTGGGCATTACAAGTTGACTATTAGTTAATCCACCACACCAGCATGGTGGTGCACACCTGTTGCTTCAGCCCTCAAAAAGCAAAAAGAGGATTTCAAGTTCAAAGCCAGCCTGGGTAACTTAGTAAGACTCTGTCTCAAAACTGAAAAAGGGGAGGGTGTCTCACCAGCCTTTTTCTCCAACAAAACCTATTACTTATTTCATTCTAGCTGGGCTATTTCTGGAAATGCTATGGCAGACTGATTCATCTTATTGACTGGTACAGAATGTATTGTTATCCCTTGGGGGTGGGCAAAGGTGGAAAGGTTGAGCTCTAACATCATTACTGTGCACAGGATCATTTTATCCTGACAACAATCATATGAAGTATATCTTCTAATTTCCTTATTACAGATGAGAAACTTGGGGCTCTGAGAGGCAAAGTTGCCTTAATGTGGAAAAATCACATGTGACAGAGGTAAAATTTGTTTCCAGGGTTTCAAGATTCCAGAGCATGTATGCTGTCCACAACTATACGGTCTGAGGGTTTACATTCACCTGGAGGCAAGGCCTTGACCCTAAAGATCACGGGATCCCCAGCACAAGAGCAGGCAGGGGTATGGATGTACTTCATACAAAGCCAACTCCCTTGAGCTAGCTAGATCTTAGTAGAAACTCATTTATTTCCATTTCTCTCCTAGTTCAATTCAAAAGATGCCTTTGTTTTGAGAGTACCATAGTGGGACATGTTCCCTGACCGCTGGTGTTTTCCTTTGACTAACCAAGGATCTTTATTTAACCTAACCAGTGGGGAACAGCCAGAAAAGAATTGAGCAACTGGGTGTTAAGGAATGTGGCAAGAAGGAGCGAAGTATCTTGTAGGTAGCACCGATGCCTCCAGGCCACCTGTGAGCTAGCTCAGCCTGCAGTGAGGTGGGTATGTTGCCAATCAGCTTAGGATTCATTTGCTCACTGACACAGGTGCTGGCTTGCGCCCGACACTACTCAGGAAAAGAATCCTGAGCTTTAGGAGCCCATCTTCCTCGAGAAATAAATCATCAGCAGGTTTACCTGTGCAAGTTTTACAGAGCCTGTGCTGGAGCACACGGAGGTCAGTATACGGTGGAGCGCTGCTTATATAGCAGCTGCAGGCCTGTGATTGCCCCAAGTACAGGTCGGTGATTGGTGCTGGGCTCCGGAACAGCCTCTGCTGTCGTGGCTGAGATCCAGTGAGGTAGTGGGGGCTGAAACCAGGGAACCTTCTGGAAAGCAAGCTGGCTGTGGGGATTCGGGATACGAATAGGGTCAGATCCCTCCCCGCCTGATCATGGACACATCAGGATGTCCCTTCCCTCTTTCAAAAGGGCAATAGTAGCGTCTAAAGTAGTAGGAGTGGGGAAGTTGGCCCCATTCTGGAGTGACTGCAAGGACCAAGTCACGGCCCCCGCCATCGCGAGGGACACCCGGAGAGCCAGGTGCTTCTGGCACTAACGGAGCTCAGTGGCCATGTTGCCAATCGGCTGCAGGCCCCCCCCCCCCATTCAGCTAGAAATCCCAAATCGAATCAGCAAAGTGCACCTCTGGGCTTTGAGTGCCAGGGACCCCCCAGCCCTTAGTGCTACAGCTCCGGACCCTTGGTTACTGATTGCTGCTGAGGCTCCGCGCCGCTGCTGGTCACCTCGGGAAAGCCGCACTGGCTGCGGCCACACGCAGGTAATGCCGGTCAGCCCTGCTCGCGACTGGCCTCTACACCGACCTTGACGGGCTGCTGGTTTCTCTTCAGCGATAGCAGCCCATCGTGTTTATAGTCTGGGTTGGTTGGTTGGTTTAAGGGACTGCTTTGACCCCTTTGTTCGCACTTGAGAAATATTGCAAAGTAGATTTACAAGACGTTCTGAGTCCACACTACTGCAGAAATAAGGGGTAGAGTTACAGGGCTCCTGGTGCGAGGCTTCACCTAACAGGGCCTTTCATAGACCACCAGGAGCCAGCAAGGAGAGCTGTGTATGTCGCAGCAGCAGGCCTGTGATTGGTCCAAATGCCAGCCTCCTGGTTGGTCTGAATTTGAGCCTCCAATTGGTCCAAATTGGTCTAAACTCAAATCTTTTGATTGGCGCCTACTGATTGGTTCAAATTTAATTCTGCTGCTTGGTTCAGACTCAAGCCCAATGTGGTCAGGGCAGACACCTGGAAGGGGTGCAGGGCATCCAGGACAGCCCTAGCTGTGCAGCGTAGCTGTCAATCAGTGTGCTCCCCCTTCTGGCTCATTAGAAAGACAAGGGAAGAGGTAGACCATTTCTTCTAATCTGTCTCAGCCGGAACTGATTTAAGGAAGGAAATGGACAACTCCAGAGAGTTTTAAACTGACAGTTTGAACTGACATTAGGTCCATAACTGAATAAAGACAGCAGCCTTAGTTCTTCAAGGTCAGTGTTCTATAACAACATAGTCAGAGAGTGTGACCCAAATCCCAAAGTGAAAAACAGCTCAACATTTCTTTTTCTGAAATTCCGGCCCATTGCTTTTTCATTAAGCCATTTAGGGCCCAGGAGTGCTAAAGTTTGGATCTCAAATGTCCTTGCATTAAAGACTTCCTCCCCAGGCAGCACTACAGTAGTGAAATCTTTAGGAGGCAGTGCCTAGTGGGAAGGGCCTTTGATGGGTCCTTCGGTCATCCGGAGCAGTCCTAGAAGGGGAAGGGGGGGCCCTATTCTCTTCCTCTTCCTGTTTCTTGGCTCATAACATGAGCAGTTTGCTCTTATATGTTATGTGATGTGCCACCTTCACTAGAGACCCCAAGTAAATGAGGCCACTTGATCTTGGAGTTAAACTTCCAGAACCATGAGTTAAAATTAACCTTTTCACTTTCTTAAGTTAATTGCCTCTGTTATTTCATTACAGTTCCATGAAGTTAATAAGCAGGAAGCAGGGGAAAGGGAAAAGAAAAGAGGAAGAATACGACTGTGAAGGAGCCTGTTGTGCCAGTGTTGATTCTTCAACATTTCAACATGACAGTTGTTTGTATTAATCTGCAACCTACAAGGTCTAATAAAACATACAATAAATGTTTAAATTTTTAAAAATTTATTGGAGTAAAAGATATATTGCCATTAGTCCCACTCAAAATACTTCTCCTTACTTTGAACACACTGATCCCATCATTCTTGCCCCTTTCTGAAATAGTTCTGGAAGTCCTCTTAAGTGTCTCTAGTTGCGCTGTTGTGGCTCATTTGATGTCATGAATTGGTTCCAAACATTTACCTTTCATACTCTTTTTGACTTTGGGAAAGAATCAGAATTCATATGGTGCTAGATTCAGTGAATAAGGTGGATGGAAACACAACATAATGGTTTCTTTCATTTGACAGACATTGTCATAAATGTTTTTGAATCACTTCAAGATATCAAGGTAGCCATGAAAAGACACTCACAAAAAGGACTTCCAGAACTGCTTCAGAAAGTGACAGGAACAATGGGGAAAGGGTATTAGAAGTCAGGTATTTTGAGGGGGATTAATGGCAATGTATCTTTCACTGTAATAATTTTTCATTTTAAAATATTTACCATAAGCTGGGCATGGTGGTGCATGCCTATAATCCCTACACTTGGAAAGCTAAGACAGGAGGATTGCTGCAAGTTTGAGGCCAGCCTGGGCTACATAGTGAGACCCTGTCTCAAGAAACTAAAAAAAAAATTACCATATAATTTGATTACATTGCATAAATAGATTCATATGGCAATGAATTAAATAGCTCATCTTTTCTTCTTGTGGCTAGACTGATGGCAAGTGGGGGTAGGGCAGGGTGAGTAAAAATAGCTGTTTAAAAAAGAACCAGATGCTACTGTAAACAAGGGCACACTATGGACAAATGCTGATTGCTTGAAACTCTAGACTGGGTGTTTTATTTAATACTCTGAAAAATAAATTGGCAGTTTTCCTTGGATTCTGGAGTTTACTGCCGTCCTGTCTACCTTCTGAGCAAATTAGGATGTGACCTGTTGGATTGGCAGTAGCCTGTGTGGGGGAAAAAAGAAAAATACCTTCCACTATCACAGGAAGTCACCTTTTCAAAAGCCAGGGAAGCTATTCTGTCTACTTAGTTGTCCTTGCGTTTTATTTTCAAGATCTCTACTTCATTTTGTTTATGTTAAAAAGGAATAAGACAAATAAGCAAACAAACAAAATCTTGAGAAGTGGAGGGAGGGAGAGAGGAAAACAGAGGGAGAGAGAGAAGGAGGGGTTGTGTGTAGTATAGAGGGAGAAAAGGGAGACTTTACAAAATAGACACATCAACCAATTGCAATGTGTGGGGTCTTGACCCAGATTCAAATGAAATATAAAAATAAATAAGTAGCACGAAGAAAACGTAGTTTTGGGGCAATTTGAACTATAGAGATTTGAACATATTAGGGAATCATTGTTGAGTTATTAAATGTGATAACAGAATAGTTGTCTTTTAAATAAACGTCTTAATCAGGGCCAGGGATTTAGCTCAGTGGTTTTGCTACCTGCTGTGCAAGCCCAAGGACCTGAGTTCGATCCCCGGTACCAAAACACAAACAAACAAAAGTCCTAATCTTTCAGTGATGCATACATAAAATAGTTCCAGGTGAAATTATCTAATGTCTTATACTTGCTTCAGAATAAACCTAGGAGGGAGGCTGGTCAGGGAGTTGAAGTTCAATGATATTTTCAGTGTGGGGGACTTGTGGGGGCCAGGGTTTCATTACTCTGGTCTCTCTCCTTTTCTATGAATTTGAATTCTCCTCCAATAAAAAGTTAACAAGAAAACTGCACTAGACCATGCTGTGATGTCTTGAACCCCAGAGCTGCCCTGTCTAGAAGCCTGCTGGCACTGGGCAAATGGCCCGCAAGCACAGACAGAACTTTCCGCTTTTGAAGGCAGTGTGTGTGTGTGTGTGTCTGTCTGTCTGTCTCTGTGTGCCTGTGTGTGATTTCCCAACAAACTCACTGTCTTGGACCAGAATCAAACCACAACCACAAATAGTCCTTTTTTTCAATCAACTCATAGAAAATATGTCAGGAAAGAGCTGAGGAGAATCTAAAAGCAAATAAAAGGGAGCTAACCTGAGATAAGAAGGCTGCTCTCCTACCAAGATGAAGGTGCCAGGGGACTCAAGTGCCCCGCCAGCCTTAGGCAGCCTGCCAGACCCCAGACCTGGTGGCTGTCTTGACAGTAGCCTCTAGGTGAGGCCCAGTGACGTTTGCATCTTTTGACCCAAGTGCTTGGTACAACGTAAAAATTGAACTAGTTTTGCTTCCTAATTAAAATCTCTTGGCTGTGGATTTTGGAGCAAGTTTTCTGAGCAATCACCTGGTTAGATGACTCACCTATCTTTGAAGCCCATCGTAGGAGCTGGGCCTGATTCCTCTTTCTGGAATGACATCATGCAGAAGAGGCAGTGGCATCTCTGGGCAGTGACTCCAGGCTCTGTACGCAGGACCAGGAGAGACTTAACTCCCCACTGGGCAAGCAGAATAAGAGTGCAGAAAAAGCTCAGAAAAACCAGCTTTCTCAAGAGAGACACTGTACTGGAAGATTGGAGTGGGAAGTTTGCCCTGAGATGTTTTTAGGGCAGACTGTGGACAACAGGGGCTCATAGTAAACAGGAGCCAAGGAGCATTTCACAGTGTGGAGCTGCCATGCACTGCCCAGCCACAGCCTCCCTCAGACTCATGACCACACATAGAGACCTCATAGGTATTGACTGTGTCTTAATTTGTAGGCCTGATCCATCGCCTCCCAAAATAAAAAAAGAAAGCCAGAAAGGGAGATGAAATAAGTAATGATGACTGTTGATTAGAGAATATCACAAGAGGAAGACAGTGGTCCTAGATGGGGCTTTTATTCTGCCTCTTGGTTTTTCCCCAAACCACTTCCCCCTTCACTCCATGCACTACTTTTCTTCACCAAAACAAGCTTAAATGTTCTCCTAAGCAAACTGCTCTCTGACCTCACACTAGTGAATAGTTTGAGGGGGAAGAAAAAGAGAATTCAAAAACAAAGGTCTGTTTTTCTTGGCATCTGGAGAAAAGGTGTATGTGCATGACTTTTTAAGGACCTTTAGCTTTTTAAAAATATACTTTTAGGCAGCATGGGGCATAGCTCAATGGTGGAGCACTTGCCAAGCATTTGTTACCTGAGTTACATGAGTTACATTCCCAGCACTGCAAAATAAATTTGCCTAAAAATAAGCCTCATTTTAGGATAGTTTTAGATTTACAGAAAAATTGAGAGGTAGTACAGAATCTCTGACTACTCCACATCTATTTCTCCCTGTTAACATGTTACACTTGTACACTTGTCACAAATAATGAGCCAATATTGTTCTTATTAACTAAAGCCCACAATGTGTTCATGTTTTCTCAGTTTTTACCTAATGTCTCTGTTCCATTCCAGCAACTCCTTTAGGTTCCCACGTTACCTTAGTTGTCATGTCTCCTTAGTCTCCTATGACAGTTTCTCAGATTTTCCTTGCTTTGGCTGACCTCAATAGTTGAGGTTGAGGAATACAGGTTAGGGGTGCTGTGGAGGATGCAGTGATGTTTCATTCATGGCTAGACTGGGATTATGGGTCTGAGGAAGAAAGCCTCTTACCTCTTGCGTCTTAGCTTCTGAATATCTGGTGATCGTTCCTCTATCTCCTTCAAAGCCAAATGGCTTTAGGCATCAGGAAACATTCCGGGCAGGTGTTGTGTCTTCTCCTTGCACATTTATCATTTGCCTTCAAGCACATTTTGCTATTGACTCCACTAAAGAAGAGAAACAGGAACATTTTTAGAAACTGGGGACATGGTTGGCAATACCTGCTGAAAGGGAAATGAAAACTCAATAGTATATGAAACTCAATTCTAATTATGCAAGGAGATTTAAAACACTACACATTAGCAACAGATTATTTTAGTCGCTGAGATGTGAATGGTATATAAATTCTCTTTCTTTGTCAAAGAGGGGAATCTAGATTTTTTTTCTGAGATAATTTGTGCCTCTTTCCATT